TATCAAAAAACTCATTAACAATAACATAAATATATGTATCTAAATAATCAATAAGTGTTTCGTAGCTTCTTCGTTATCGTGACACAACAATCATTGCAAGATCAGTCCAATTCTTTAAGGATACTGATCACTTTTTAAATACGACTAAACATGGAGTTCCAATATCGAACGAGTTCTTTAGACCTTTCATATTTAATTACTCGGACAAAATAAAATTCTAGGTGTCGTCAGACAACAATGTATATTTCTATAACGCGTGCGAAGTAGGGTGAAAATAAAACGGAGATTTTCTCCATACACGACGCCCATTTAATGTCGTGACCATAGTTATTTCCGTAATGGCGTCATCCCGTTACAAAATATGAATTTTACCAAAGACTCTTAAATTGCTGATAAATAAACTGAAACACTTAACGTGGATCATGTAATAATTGAAAAAGAAACATCAATTCGCCAAACAAAATCAACAGCAACAACATTGATGAAAATCAATTCTGATTCTTAAAATATGATTCATGGGGTTGTTACGAAGTTACTGCGAGTCTGAAGAATAGTTTCATCGTGAAGGCATATTTTCGCACTTATTCTAAAATAACTTGTGAAATAATAGCCGGATATAGTTTACTGTGATTCTTTACAGTTGATTATTAAAGTAAAGAAAAAATTTTTTTACACTATTAAATCGTTATTTTAAAGAAATATAATTGGAAGTTCTGCCGAGACACAAATAGGATTAGGAATTAGTTACATAGCATCTTCCAATATACATTTTATGCAATCTTTCTCATAAATTTACGTTACCTCCATTCTTATGTGATAATTTAAAATATGATTTATTATAGAAGAAACGACGAAATATAATATATTGATACATTAAAAAAAATTAATTTTTTTATTTTGACGTACCTAACGCGATACTCGCAGTACTAGATTTTTTCTAGAATTATTACTAAAATTGTTTCAGTCTTTATATTTTGTTAAGCATTAAATGAAAACAATTTGCCAAAAATATATTTTTAAAATATTATTTCACACATATGGATGCAATATGGTGGCAGAAATTGTTTTCAATTATGATATGATGGAACGAACAATTATAAAATAGGAAGCACGATAAAAAACACATAAGAAAAAATTTCCCTATGCGGGCGTATAAAAAAATTCAACAGTATTGACTTTCATTTTTGGTTTATGTGTGTTGAAAAAGATAACGAAAAGAACGATATCGTTTTCTGAGAATATCTTAAGAACAGTACAATTTCTATTTCTCGACGAAAAATTCAACAAAGTTACTAAAATTCATTTACACAAGAATTCATATAATCGTATAGATACTTTGGAACGAAATAGAAACTTCTGAGAAACATCAAACAATTCCTATCTCTACAATACCATGATATCGCTTATGTTTCATAAAGATCGTCAACGATGTATGTTCATAATTTTTCCGAAATTTTTCTCCGTTCATGCCGTTAATACGATTCCACACTTTCGAAATATTTCGCGAGATTTTGCTAAGGTGACATTGTTTCGATTGTCTCGGCCATTTTACATAGCGTACCTTCTAGCTATAACGATATTAATGTCGCAATGAGACAAGTACCTAATGTGCTTGATTTCAGATTTTTTTTCATTTCTATAAACCCTATCTATCAATCACATTTGAAACCATAACTTCCTAATTAAAACGAAAAATATAATCAACGCATATAAAATATCGTTGCAACACCTATATGAATATCATGCAAGACAAATGCTGCTCTTGAGACACGAGACCGTGTTCTTTTCTTCCCTTTTTTATCGTATTATCATTCGCCCCGTGTCGCCGGGAACATTGTTCCTACTCTCGTTAGATTCAAATGTTCCAGTAGTAACGAGAAGTCACGGAATTATATTGGAAGGGAAATATGGTACTACAGGGAATTAACTTTATTTAACGATTAATTTTCGTTCTGATGTACGTATTACGTAGGAACTCGTTTATTTTGTGATGTCACGACTGTGATGTCCGTACGGAAGCGTCACAGTACGTAAACGAGGTCGGTGCGTGCGTATCTGCACGTCTCGACAATCACAAAAACAGAAAATGTATTCGTCGTGTGGTCAGGCCCGTTCAAAACGAGACACAGCGATGAATAGAAGGATCAATGTATAGCGTCCTTCCCACAAGAACAGACGGGAAAGAGAAAGCAGGGACACGACGGAGAAAGAGAAGAACAAGGATTGATGTAATCGCGATGGAAGGATTTACTTACAGGCGGCGGTTTGATCTTACAAATGCCAGACTTCTCCGCGATCGGTCGTATTTTCGCGATGTAGCCAAGGGGGTCGTGAAACTCTTCGATACTAGGTTCGAAGACCGGCGCCTCTGGCGGTATAATGAATTCGAAGTCCGAATCACCACGATCGCAAGCCATGTCTTGGGTGCAATGATAAGTCCCGAAAAAATCCTCGCAACCGAAGTTCGTGTCGAACCTCGATACCATGACTTGAGTGCCCAACACAGCTTGGACGCGGATAGGTGGCCCACACGCACCTAACGCGGGTGAGGACCTCGCGCCAGCTCCAGCACCGTTACTCAGCTGCCGGCCCCGAGAATTTATTTAGAAACATGTTTCGGTAATCCATCATCACGAACTGCATTTGTGTATTTGGTAGAAAGCGGTTGACAATAAAGGCGACAGACACGAAACACACGATGCACAAACGTCCACGATATCACGCGGAGCCTCGCACACGAGCAACTGTCCTATTCCCTGATTCATACACCTCTTCTTTCCTCACACTCACATGAATGTGTCTGCTGAACAAATAAAATAGTTCTCCCCGCTCCTACCGACCGAGAGTTACTAGCAAAATTGGCACTCGAATCTATATCATAATATTCTATGGTGCAGAAGCCAGCGCCAAGCGTTTATCACGAACTTAGGATACAACAATCTAAGGAGGTCTATGAACATGTGTTATTTTCCCATCAAAATTTCTATCTTTTAATTCCACAACATACAGGTGATTCTGAACGGGAATATACTTTCATGGCTATACGTTTGTAAAGCATAGTTAAATTGTATTTTAAAATGCCTTTTTTTTTATCGTAGAATATATTTCTAGATTAGTGCTATGAAAACATTTTATAGTAAGCTATTCAAAGTTGTGTACAGACATGATAGCGTCATCTTAAAGTAGGGAATTTTTGACAATTAATGACTCCTGAATTTTTGCTTTTTATGGAAGATTGAGAATATAAACATTAAGAGAAACTATTTTCTTTACATGAAACATTATGAAGATATATATTTTTTATAAAATTAATTACCCACATGCAGCAAGTAATTGCTTTAAGCGTAAAAAAAATAACCTCTTTGAAGTTAAAATTTCATTCACAGAACTGGTGAATAGAAACGAAAAGTCTCTATAAAATTATAATCTTTCCAACTAAGTAGTCTAAACCAGGAGTATAGAACTGGGAGCATGCGAACTCCATAGTGATTTTCCCCTCACAGAGAATTACCTTCTCCATACCTACTTTTACTTGTATTTGACATTCATAAAGCAGCTACATACGCAGTTAGAGCACCTCCTACAGTAGACGTAGTGGGAGAACTATGATCGAGAGTCACTAGCATAAGGGGAGGTAGTTTGATACCACTGTTCTGAACAATTATAACATTTAAATAAAATAATATATTAATTAATGTTTTATGGCAATTGTAAAACCTATTAAACTTCAAATATATTCAATATTAAATTATTAGTGAACTCAACATTTTATTATACAATTGGAATTATTTTATGTCAAGAATATTTCATATAAAAGTATTGTATTTTCTCATAGTAACATGAAATTCTTTACATACAAACTTATAATCGTCAGTTTATGATGTCAATGTTTGAACAAATACATAAATATATTACCAATTTAAATTTACCGCTTTCAACAAATCAGATGGCGTATCATATTGATCTAGTAATATATGAGAAACGTTGTTCAGGACAATTAGTACTCGTGGTCATTCTTACCTTTCAAAGTGAGAAGTATGTAAAATGTTATATAAGTTTTATCATTTCAAAATAATTGTATTTTTCAACAATTTACAGCTTAAATAGAATAGAAATGTCTTTTTATATATTTATGTATTATTTTCCTTTAAAATATATGATAGCTGTCAGTGTTCTGTAAATTTGGTTATGTCTTGTTATTTAATTCAGTGAATTTACTTTTTTGCAGAATTCATTTAAAATGGGTAAAACATTTGGAGAGCTTGCAAAAGTTTCTGGAGTCACATTCTTTCGGCTCAGTCCATATGAGCAGAAGCCATTTGCTGGAGTGCTCACAAACGGAGTGCGAAATACAATACGCAGGTTTAATGATTCTATGGTAACATTTGTACCTTGTAAGTACTTTTCTATCAATTAATATTCTGATACTTTTATAAATTTCATTACCTTCAATAATAATAAAATAAATGCATTATGCCTACCTTACACAGTAATAAATAAAGTAGTATAATAGAAAATGATAAATGAATTATATGTTTATACTTATGTTTTAGTTGGTCTTATGACTTACATGCTTATGGAATGGGCAGATGACGAATATCATAAGAGCCAGCGTAAAAACCCAGCAGATTTTGCAAATGACAAGTAAAATATATGTCAATAATTAATAGCAAACAAAGTACATGTAATTTTAAGTTAGAATAAAATTAACCACACGTAATGTATTGCTTTGTTATTTCATTTTTGTAACACAAGTAAAACAATATTATTATATGTTTACATATAAATATTATCTAAATGGCAATATTTTAAGTAAACTTTTTAATATTTCAAATCACACTAAGCATAAATATTTTGAAACAAATTAAAGCAAATATAAACTTTTTATACACGCCAACTAAACACAAACAGTACAAAGAAGAGCATTCTTCTTTTAAATATTTTCATTTTTTTGTTAAATGAATTTTTTTTTAATTATGAACACTAATAAATATAACAATTCATGATAAAAAATAAAATTAGTTGGTTTCCTCCTTTTTAGATGAAAAAGTTAATTATTGCCAGAAATCAGAAACAAAAGTTTTCAAAGTATATTGCATACAATTGATTAATGCACTGTTTACCGTAAAATACTAACTAATCAACAGGTGTTGCCCATCCTATTCCAATAAAAATTCTATATATTCGTTTGTTGTAACGAGTAGTTTCATTGGTTCTTGATGCAAGTCATCGGATTTCTTCGGGATTTCCGTGACATCATCCAATCGGTAAAGGTACTTCTCCCTCTGTACTCTTCATTTTCATATTTTCGAAATATTCGCATTAAAGTATTATAACCTCCTTAGCGCAATGGTAAAAATTGATATAATATACAATAATTTTTTCCACATATTATAATTCAAGATAAAATGTTTGCAGTGCTTTTTTAAAAAAAAATATACTAAATAAGTTCAGGTATCATCATTCATATGTAACCGAATATACGACTACTTCCTATATTTCACATGAAAATTTTAAACAACAATGTAAGATCTTAGAGACTTTTCAACAAATTGTATAATACTGTTGTAATTAAAATCTCGATTAATTCGTAATTCAATTCTAAGTTTTATAATAACATAGTGGCTTCAATGTTTCTAGTATTATTTTGGCAACGCCAGAATTTCTTTCTTCTGCCTTCCTTTTCAATTCGCACGATATAGAAGATTGTAATGTCGAGAAACTTTAATTATTCATTATTCTTCGCCAATTACTCCACGATCACGGCATTTTCCCAAGGCGTGAATACGTCCCTGTTACACCGTGTCGAAAGTATCCGATTCCGTTAGAACTTAACGCCATATTCCACAGGTACGTTCCGACCAATCAGAAGGACCGTACCAAGAATGCACTTGGGAAAAACAGGTAAGAAGCGGACAAGCCAAAGAGCGATCAGCTAGTCGTTCAGGTATTTCCAGTCGAGCATGATCGGTACATAGCTCTCTGCGAGAAGCTTCCCCTCCCTCTCTTTTTCTCTTTCTTTCTCTCTGTTTTGTGCGGATTGTGAACAAAAATTTGTAAATAGGTAAGTAAAAGAAACTAATAACAATCGTTGTGCGAGAGAAGTTCTTTTTCGCGTGTACGTCGTGCAAGCTTGTGGTATCCGACGTCCGCTTATTCCCCGTACGTGTACCAAGCCATGATACCAGTGATCCAGCGGACTCGGTGAAACGCTGCTGTCAAGGTATTTATGGAAATGATTTCTTGACCGGAATCATTGCACCGAATACACGGACATAGGATTTCTCCTCGCGACGAACCGTCGTTGTGATCACACCTGTTGCTTCTCCGTACGTCGCCGATGATAATCGGACACGCGAGCCACACGAGTATTCTCTCTCCGTGTTGTAAACTTTCGTGGCTGGTCACGGTAAACGGGCTCAAATAACAAAAATCCTTTCGATATCGGCCAACGTGCCGTCCCTCTGAATTCCTTTGAAATTTACGTGTGTGCGTGCAACACTCGAGGAACGAACACAGTCACGCTAGGAGGATGCACGGTCGGTATGTCTGGTGACGAAGGTGGAAAAGAATCAGATGCAATTAGATTTCCGGTGGTAGGTCATCGCGACGCACAACCATTGCGTTACAATCGTATACGGTAAACAACTGTCGTGCAGGTTAGACGTTTGGTCTCGGTTCTTAGTTGTTGTTGCCTATTGTGCTTTAAGGTATTTTTATGCAAATCGAGTTCTCCAAGTCAGGATAAAAACGTAGCGTACGATCGTTTCCCGACGGAAATTGCTCGAACATCCGTAGAGCTATCTAATAAAATCATCGCGGGTCGCATTATTTCAGTGTAAATCGCATTTCTTTTTTTGTCTTTTTTCGAATTATTCTTGTCACTTTCGGATGAAACATTATGAATCATTTATTTAAGTGATTTCGATTTCTTTCTCTCTGTATGATTTTTTCTCGTCGTTTTGGCAGATTTCAAGAATTAACCTATCCGGAAGTATTGTTGGAGTCTAACTGTTGGAGGTAGATTATACACGCAAAGTATAATACTGGCCTATGATTATGGGATTGAGAAAGAACAGTGAATATTTCTCGGTCGTTTTATAAGGAGGTTCCCCGCCCATAACATTTACGACAGTACGTTCCCTCAATCCGTGCAAACGTATTGTTTATCGTGTATCGATAACCCGATTCGAAGCTTTAAATACGATTGCCTCGGACAGTCCTCACGTCAAATTGCTTATATCGCGTAGAAATCCTTATCGTGGAGATAGTCGATGTTCAGATGCAATTACGCAGGATTGTTTCGCAAGTTTTTACGGTTTCCCACCTTCACCTACCAACAACATAAATATTTCGATTTTATTTCTGATAATTCTAGCCCTCTTTACAAGAATTCCGCGTGTCATTTGACTTTACATGCAAACTTTATTTTCATTGACTACAACTAATACAAAAAACGACGGAGTAAACAATATGTAGGTAAATACGTAAGTGTTTACATGCTTACATAGAAATTGTATACACACAGTAAGAGACAAAATTATTGTAGCTGTACAGTAACAGAATCCTGAAATAAAAAGAGGTGTATCCAATAAATCTGATTGAATTTAATTAAATTCGATTAATTGAATTGAATCATTGTATCCGTTTATACCTTGATAACAAGATTTAAAATGAAGTACCTATCTAAAATGGAGATTACAATGACATAAGGGGTGAAATATATGCTCAATAATTATCTCAAAATAATTGATAATAATTACTTGAAGCATGTACCAATATACATTTGTCCCACATAGAAAAAATATAATTTCATAATTTAATTTAATTTAATTAGATGCATCACGTTACATTGGATTCATATTAATTCAATTAATTATTTCTTCTTCATTAGTTTTTATTTTATATAGACATTTCATATAGAAATAATGGCATTACAACACCCAATAATATAACGAACGCAGGATTTTAATCGTATGTCAGGATTATTTTAATCATTTAACGACACGCCGAGGGAGGGAAGATGTCGTTGGCATCGTGTCTATGCGACAACCACCTGTAATTCACGCCTACGAAATGCCTACGTGTTCCCTATTACCGATCGCCGTGACATAAATCGCAAGCATTTACAGAACTCCATGTACATCGATATTGCATCGAA